TTAAATTAGCTAGGTTATGAAAACAACCACAGCAGAGTGAGGTTACAGCTCTGGTTTGTCTACCAAATGTTTGTGGGTAATCTTTAAATCTTTAAAATGAAAATGTGTAGGTGAAGGAAAGAGGAAGAATAGTAGTTATATTTAGAGCAAATATGAATGTAGTGAAGATCTGTCCACACGGACATTTGTGAAAATATATGTATATTTCTAGAATCTTCAGCCTGTTGGTATATTGGCAGCAAAAAGTACAGTATAATTCAGGAACAGATATGTATTAGGAACAAATGCCCTCTATAGGTCAAGAAGAGGAAATCTCTCCTGCAATAAATAAGTGGCCATCTTGCTTTGCACTACATAAAAATAAACAAATAGTTACTGTAGGGTTGATTCTGACTTACAGTGACCTTATGTAAGTCAGAGTAAAACTGTGCTCCACAGGGTTTTCTTTTTCTTCTTTTTTTAATTGTGGTAAATATGTATGTAACAAATCGTTTGCCTTTTCAGCATTCTTCACATGTACAATTCAGCTACTTTAGTTCTTTTTATCATATTGTTCAACCATTACTATTATCCTTTTCCAAATTTTTCTGTCAGTTTTAACAGAAGCTCAGCGTCCCCTAAGCAGCAAGGCCTCCTTTCCCCTCCCTTACACCTGCCCCTGGCAACCGCTAATAGTCACAACAGGACAAATATTTATGATTCTACTTACATGAAATATCTAGGATAGGCAAGTGTATAGAGACCATAGGGATTTCAGTGGCTGATTTTTTGGAAGTAGATCACCAAGACTTTCTTCCAAGGTACCTCTGGGTGGACTTGAACCTCCAACTTTTTGTTTAGCAGTCTAACACCTTAACCATTTGTACCACCTAGGGACTCTGTACTGGATAAACTTTATTTTTGTTTGGATAAAGGTTTTAACACAACTACATGCATTTGCTATAATTTTTGTTGCTGTTGTTAGGTGCCATTGAGTTGGTTCCGACTCATAGCGAGCCTATGTTCAACAGAATGAAACACTGCCCGGTCCTGCACCATCCTCACAATTGTTGCTATGTTTGAGCCCATTGTTGCAGCCACTGTGTTAATCCATCTCCTTGAGGGTCTTCCTCTTTTTTGCTGCCCCCATACTTTATCCATGGGAAATTACCTGGGGCAAAGTGATTTTTTCCAGCCTTGCAGAGCATGGGATATAGAAAACAATTCACAGGTCTATTTCTCCACAACATCACATTGTGACTCTGTGGGATATTTGATTATCTTAGGGACCATCTAGAGAAGCGAGAGGAGAGAAAAGATAGCTGAAGGTCACAGTGCAAACATTAGCTCTTGTGATGGATGGACTTTGCTTGTCGTTTGACACAGAGGTTGTCACATAGGAGAACTGCACAATAGCTTCTGTGGAGAGGTGTGGTATTTTCTTTCCATCTGAATTTTGCATAAAGGTTATCGCTCTTTGTTTATACTTTCCTTTCATAGGCATCCAAGCTCTGAAACTCTTAGGCTCAACTGTCTGACTTTCCCTTTCCTGTCTCACCTCTAATAGATGACTTGATTAATTTGTTCTGCTGTCCATTTTGAGAAGTTTCAGAATAATCTGAATGTTCTCTTTGGGTTTAAAATGACTTACGTTTTAAATAACACATCTAAAATTATGACAAACAGCAATGCTTCTTGCAATAAAAATTGCACCCATTCTAACGAGTTAATAGATTTGCAAGGTAAGAATTACTGATATCTTTATATCACTAAAAATATTATTTGGATAATCGTAACAAAACACCTAGATACATAGTGAAAAATAATAGCAATTGAACAAAAGTAAATGTGTTAGTTCATCGTTCTTAAAAGTCTCCATACTAAGGCAGTTTACTTAATTTTTATTTTATTCAGTAATGCTAGAATAAGAAAAGTTACACACCTACATTCAGAAGTGCCTCTCCTCCTTTGTGGGAAAATGTTCTCTTTCCTTAGTACTTGTTAGTCTCTCACCTGTTGATATCCGAAGTACGTGTATTTATTATTTTGCTGAATCTTAACTCCACAAGAAACTATGGATCCTCATCCCTCAAAACACTGTTGCAGTATTCCTGAAAGTATCTCAAAAGAATTCATTAATAAATGCAATACTTATTTTATGGTGTATTTTTCTTATATGCCTTTTCTATTCCCTCTATTAAATATTACTTTGTCCTCTCATTATTATCCTCAATGCATAAGAGCCTAAGAAGCTTGAAAGATTTTACTAAGGGTTAACCTCTATTTGAGTGTTATTAAAGTGTTGTGATGTAATGGTTAAGCGCTCAGCTGATAACCAAAAGGTCAGTGGTTTGAACCCACCAGCTGCTCCTCAAGAGAAAGATGTGGCAGTCTGCTTCTGTAAAGATTACAGCCTTGGAAACCCTATGGGGCAGTTCTACTCTGTCCTATAGAGTCGCTGTAAGTCAGAATCGACTCGACAGCACACAACAACAACACAAAGTGTCTTATAGAGTATACAGAGTTTTGAGTGGAATAACTCTTTTGGGTTTTAATGATAACAGGTCTGACTTGTCACTTCCCCAACTCTGGACTCGGTTGAGTCCAGTGTGGGAGCTAAGATTGGGCATATTTGAGGGACAAGGAACAACGTGCACTCTCAATTGCTCTTACTCTCTTTTGTCAAGGCTTTGTTACTGGGTCAAATCTGCTATACTCGATACCTCTTTTTTGATTAGGAGTTCTCTCTTAGTGGTCTCTTTCGTACCTAGAGCAGGACTACTCCCAACTTCTCACCACACCTGGTGGCATCTCACATATTGTTATTCTCTTGCCTGTATCATCTCAGTTGAATGGTTTCTTAAAGATTCTTCTGATTTGGTTTTGTATTTTGTATTTAATGTCAATAGCTAAAGTAATGTAGCCAGATGACCTTGAAAGGAGGTTGATCGAGTGATAAAGGCTTTCTGAAATTGTTACAATGGACATGAAATTTCAGTGAAAAATGAAAGACTGGAAGTTTCAGATGTGATCACTACTTGAAGTCAGTAATGGCCTTTGAACATTTTGGAGCACATTGTATTGATGGGTAATTTTTTCTTTTTTATGGTGATGCCCTTTTTTGAGATGCTGCAAGGATGTAGATGCAATTATAAAACCGCAAAATGGAAATTCAATTGGTTTGAACTTAAAACTGCCAAAATATTTGAAACCTCCCAGATCTCCAGTCTGCCCCTTCTGTGCAGCAAAGAACTAAAAGAGAGATGGTGCAATCAGTGCAATTACCACTCCTAGCCTATATGAACGTAGCCTTGGTGGCAGAATGGTTAATCAGTCATCGGACTGCTAACTGAAAGGTCGGCGGTTTGAACCTACCAGCCGCTCAGTAGGAGAAAAGACCTGGTGATCTGCTCCCATAAAAATTCCAGCATAGGAAACCCTATGGGGCAGTTCTATTTTGTCCTATAGGGTTGCGATAGTCAGAATCGACTCAACAGCACATAACAAGAACAACAGGCTCTCTACAAGGAACAGGAAAAAGCAAAATTGTTCTTTAGAAGTTTTCCATCCTCCCCCCACCTCGTCACTTCTTCTTCCCTCACTCTTGTGCCAAATAATTGAAATGCATTAATATATTTTCTTGAAGGCCCCAAGAAGGCTGCTGTAAACCTGCCATCTTCAGGCAATGCTTCCATGCTGGGGTGCCATCATTCCATTCTGTTCCCTATTTAGAAGCAGCCTCTGTAAACCACCATGTTGGAAAATATTTGATCAATAAATTTGTATCTCTTCCAGGAATGTTTGTTCTGTAATGGCAGAGCATAATTTAGCTTGAAGTGACTTTGATGTTTGTATTTCAGGAGTTAAGCATAGGTCGATGGGGAGATATGTGGACAGAATTGCATTCTCTTCGTCCGTCACATCCTGTGAACATGATAGTCAATATGCTTTCTCTCCATAAGACTGATGCTATTTAGGACATGCTGCAATTGGAAGCTGCATGTTTCCAAGAGAAAGAAAATAATTTATCAAGAAGAGCATGGGATTTGGAGTCCTGACAGCATTTCTCACTTTATGATCTTGGGCAAATTTTATTTATCTCATCAGTAAATTGAACATGTTAATTAGACCTACACCGCTGTTAGCTGCATGTGTTTTATAAACTGTTAGGTGCTACCTAGAAATGGGTTGGTTCTGGGAATACAGGATTTAATTTCTATATGTAACATGTGTTTACAGAAATCCAAAATTTTATGTGCATGGATACTTTATAAAATAATGTATGCATATGCACACTTTTATATAAACTCTCTCATGTACAGCAATTATCTACATTTCCATTATGGTTTCTGTCAGTAGTCTTAGAGATTTTCAGTTTATGCCTTTTAGGGTGCAGTTTCAGAGGGGTAGCTATAAAGTGGGAGTCATCTTCAAATATTTTAAAACTTCTGTATTTGTTGTTGTTGGTGTTAGGTGCCGTGGAGTCAGTTCTAACTCATAGCAACCCTCTGTACAACAGAATACTGCCTGGTTCTGCACCATCCTCACAATCACTGTTATGCTTGAGCCCATTGTTGGAGCCACTGTGTTAGTCCCTCTCGTTGAGGGTCTTCCTCTTTTTTGCTGACCCTCTAGTTTACCAAGCATGATGTCCTTCTCCAGAGACTGATCCCTCCTGATAACACGTTCAAAGTATGTAAGAGGTACTTGCCATCCTTGCTTCTAAGGAGCATTTTTGTTGTACTTCTTCCTCTGTACCTTAGGACTTCTGTCTTTTAGTCAATGAGTTTGATTCAAGCCATTTGAATATAGAGGGGTCTCTTCTGGGCAAATAATAATGTTTTGGTTAAAAAAGAAAAGTATACAAGCATTTCTGTAGGGCATTGATGGTAATTTCGTAGTAAACCAGGGTGGGGCAAAAGGAAAATAGAAATGATGTAACTGATAAAAATTTGCATTTTATCAAGGTAGAAATCAAACATTTTTAACCTTACCAATATTTTTATTATTATTATCTATAGATGGGGCACACTGAGAGGAGCACAAGGACGGAAAGAAAAATTTTGGGTATGTAACTCTTTCTAGTTGAATTCCTACTGTGAGGTGAGTACTTTAGAATCTGCTGTCTCTCTTCTCCCTAGTTTGTACCATTTGATCACATCCTATGTCCCTGTAATATTGGTCATGATATTGGTGTTTTCTCCAGCATGAAACTCATTACACTCATTTATATGATAGTAATAGTTTTCCTTAATTCCTCTTATTTCAAATTTAAAAAAAAAAAAAGATTAAGTATTTTTTTAATGGAGATCAAGACAACTTTTAGTTCTATTATTATCTATGTTAAACTCATAGTTAAAGTAATGCTTAGACTTCCCTTGTATATGTAAATCAACTTTATCTTCTTACATATTTTTGCTATGGATTATATCCTTTTTATGCTAGTATCAATTATATGCCTATATATCTATATATAGCTCTCTCTCTATATATATATATTTATATATACCTGTACATATATACTATGGCGCAGTGGTTAAGAGCTCGGATGTTAACCAAAAGGTCAGCAGTTCAAATCCGCCAGCCACTCCCTGGAAACTCTATGGGGAAGTTCTACTCTCTCCTATAGGGTCGCTATGAGTCAGAATCGACTGGATGGCAATGGATTATGTATATATATAAATATATACACAGACACACTAGAGATTATGTGTTTGTTTTTTGCCAGTTGTAACATACACATGTTTCTTTACTGAGAAAGAATCAATGTCTAGACTGAAAAGTAATACGAACTTACAGGAAAAAAACAGTTTGAAAAATATTAGATCATAATACTTCAAATATTCAGTTGATAACAATCAATTTTAATTGTCTCAAATCCTTATATACTTTTTTTCACAGAAATAGAATAAAGTCTAGGTGATAATATTTACCATGGAATTTGAATTTGAATGCACACACTAGAGGGCATATTATAGCTTATAAAACACTAGACATCAGGACTTGTACTCATCTGAGTGGCTCTTGTTAATTAGATTTCTCCACAATGCACTTGCAAAAATCAGTCATCCATGTGTGTGGTCACACCTGAAGTGCATCTTATTGCTATATGGAGGTATGACGTTTTTAAGCAGAATTAGTATTCTTTGTATTTAAACTGACCTTTCTTAAATGTTATTGTCCTCATTAAAATAAAGTTGAAGTAGCCAACAATTAACTGTAATGTGCAATAGTTAAAATTCATAATTTGTGAAAGAGGACATGTTATCTGAATACCTACAATTAAATTTCTATACAGAATTTTTATTAAATGTGTTTAAATGGTTATTCAATTTCATAATAATATAATGGTTAGAAACAAAAACAAGTTCTTTGATTAATGTACTTAAGTCACAAGGGCTCACAGCACATAGCACTTGATAAACATTTGTTGAGTGAATGCATGAGTGTGCAGAGGTACATTTTCTGTAATTCTCCCACCCTCAACCTGATCATTTCCACTCTAGAGTCCAAATTATATAGCTAAGTACATAGATGGGGTGTACACACACACGTACACACATACACACACTCATTCTCATATATTCAACACATACACTCTTTTTAGCTACTTTTGTTTTAGTTACTATCAATTCTAAACTTACTACTTATCAAAAATTTTCAAAGAAAACTTTATTTCGTGGGGGTAGAGACAGAATTGCTTTCTGCTGTTAGTCTTTTGTGTAAATTGTTGACTGTAAGAATCAGACTGAAAATTTATCATATTTTATTAAATTGCACATTTTGGCTGGCATTTTCCCCCACTAGAATGGAGTCCTGGTGGCGCAGTGGTTAAGAGTTTGGCTGCTAACCAAAACGTCAGCCGTTCAAATCCACCAGCTGCTCCTTGGAAACACTATGGGGCAGTTCTACTCTGTCACATAGGGTTGCTATGAGTCCGAATCAACTCGACAGCAACGGATTTGGTTTTTGGTTTTAGACTGTAGACTAATCTTGGGCAAAGATCATATTTGCCTTATTTACCAAAGTATCTCAAGGGAAAAGCATAGTAACTTGTACCTAGTGGGAATATAAACAATATTTGTTGAATGACTGAATAAACAAATAACTTTAATCTATGCATTCAGGAAAAATATTAAAATCACTAAAAGAATTTTTATTCTATATAAAACTTGGTGGTAGTTTAATTAAAATATAAAAATCTTTAAGTGCTGTTTTGCCGAGAATTGTGATAGGTGTAAGATGTTATTTCACTTACATACACATATACATACACATACGAATACTGCAGAAACATTACTCACCTGGGTCAGAAAAAAAGAGTTCTTAATTGATATCACAACCAGATCAACAGCCAAAGTAGCATTGCAGCATCAGCCCCTATACCTTAGTCTTGTAGGTGAAGTGATAAATACCAACTTTTCTACGTAAGTAGTAGTAGATACATGTATATACGTGTGTGTGTGTGTGTGTGCATGTATGTGTATGTGTATGTATATATGCATGTATATATATATGTATATACATACATACACATATACATCATAGATGAGGGACAGAAACAATGGGTTTTCCCCCTTTATATACAGGATAGAAACAGCCATGCCTCTCCTTTCACAAAAGAGGACAAAAAAAACTATTATTCCATTAAGACAAGATGGAAAGGCTCTGGTGTTTTCACTCTAACCCTTAGTAATATAAATATGTCTTTACAAGGGCCAGATAAACACCAGAAAATTTCTCCTAATGCTGGGCTTCACCTCTTTTGATATGTAAATACCTAGGGAGATAATGTTCCAATATTCCTGGGACCTTGAGGTGTAATTTAGGAACTTGTCTGGGCTGTAACTACTTGACACACTTGGGGAGATAAAAGAAGTTTTATTATCCTTTAAGATCAGATTAATTAAGTAGACAAATGGCTACAGATCTAATTCTTGTGGTATGTAAAGTGCAGCCTGAGCTTAGCCTCTGCACCACTAGGGCTTCAAAACATTTCTAGGAGAAATGAAAACAACATCCTCTATCTTTATATCATATACATTTTTGTGTGTGTGTCGGGGGCTAGGACGTTTTGCAAGAGCACTGAGAAATCCAGGGAAGTTTTATTTCCTCACAATTATATATGAATGTTTCAAAAATATTTATAAATGTGACAACAATACAACAAATCATAATACAAATAAATGACTTCCACTACTGGATAAAATGTAGTAGATAGCAGCAAGCCATAAATTCTACTAAATAAGTAGAAGAAAACAATGTGCTTAATTTCCCCAAATTATTTTTTTTTTAAAAAAACAAGAAAGCTGAATCTGGAGTGGATTTTCTTTCTTGCAAGCTTCTGCCATGTCTGGGCACAAGCTGAGGACTGGATTTACAATAGCCAGAGAGACTCCTCAGGGAGAAAGAGAATCCAGCTGGACTGGAATCTAGAGGCGTTTCTTCCTATGGAATATTCTCTGATTGCTAGAGTAGCGTGAGATGATATGGAAGGGAGATGGAAAGGCAGATTGAAATCTTCTGTAGGATTGCAATGCCTGGTAAAAAGACCCACTTGAAGGGAGCCAGAAAGAAACACATGATAGGTATAGGCTTCAACATATTTAAAACCTGACATTAATGGGTTTGAACAAAGCATCAATCCAACACTGACTTGACTCAATTCCTGATGGTGTTGAAGTGATCAGTCCCTTGCCACATTATCTGAGAGAGGAAAGGGCTAACCTTCTTTTGTGGAAAGTAATTCCAATGTCAGTCTCTATAATCATAATAACAAAATATCCAGCATACATTTTAAAATTAAGAGACATGTAAAGAAACAGAAAAATGTGACCATTAATCAAGGGATGAAACTATCAATAGAAGCAATAGATGATTCTTTAGATAAAGGCTTTAAAATAACTATTATAAAACATTAAAGAAAATATGAATGAGAAGATAGAGGATTTCAATCTATTTTAAAAAATAAAATGAATTCAAGAATTATTAAGGCAAATTTGAAATTAAGAACTCACCGGATGGGTTAAATAGTAGGCAAGTTAGTGATCTTGAATAAAATTCAATGGAATACATCCAAATTGAAGTACACAGAGAAAAATATAATGGGAAAAAACAAAACAACAAAACCCAGAACAATGTGAAGCCACATGTGGGACACTGATAAACGGTTTAACATACATGTAACTGTTGTCTCAGAAGGACTGGCAAGAAAGAATGAGGCCAAATATTTAAACAATTTGCACTTGACTACTAACCTAAAGGTTAGCAGTTCAAACCCACCCAGAGGTGCCACGGAAGAGGCCTGGTGCTCTGCTTCCATAAAGATTACAACCAAGAAAACCCTAAGTTCTACTCTGTAACACAATGGGTTGACGTCAGTTGAAATCTATTCGATGGCAACAGGTTTGGTTTTTGATTTTCTACTACAGCAATTTTATATCCATATGAAAAAAAATTAACCTTTACTTTTACCTCATAAAATACACAAAAATTAATTTGAGATGGAGCATACACCTAACTGTGATTGCAAAAACAAATACTCTAGAAGAAAACATAGGCAAATATGTTACCGTGATTGGCCAGGCAAAGCTTTCTTAAACTGGTCACAAAATTAACAAACTTTATAAGAAAAAAAAAATCTATCAGACTTCATTAAAATAAGAATTTCTATTCATCCAAAGACAACATTATGACATAGAAAAGGTAAGCCATAGATGAGGGAAAATGATCCATCTAATCTGATAAGATATTTGGCAAGGACTCCTATGTTTTTTTGTTGTTAGGTACCATCCAGTCAGTTCTGACTCACAGTGACCCTGTGTACAACAGAATGAAACATTGCCCAGTCCTGTGCCATCCTCACAACCTTTGCTATGCTTGAACCCATTGTTGCAGCCGCTGTGTCAATCCATCTAGTCGATGGTCTTCCTATCTTTCGTTGACCCTCTGCCTTACCAAGCATGACGTTCTTCTCCAGGGACTGGTCTCTCTTCATAACATGTCCAAAGTGCATTAGATGAAGACTCCCCTTCTTCACTTCCAAGGAGCACTTTGGCTGTACTTCT